TTTAAATTTATTTAAATTTATTTAAATTTATTTAAATTTATTTAAATTTATTTAAATTTATTTAAATTTATTTAAATTTATTTAAATTTATTTAAATTTATTTAAATTTATTTAAATTTATTTTTAACTTTATTTAAATTTATTTAAAATTATTTAAATTTATTTAAATTTATTTAAATTTATTTAAATTTATTTAAATTTATTTAAATTTATTTAAATTTATTTAAATTTATTTAAATTTATTTAAATTTATTTAAATTTATTTAAATTTATTTAAATTTATTTAAATTTATTTAAATTTATTTAAATTTATTTAAATTTATTTAAATTTATTTAAATTTATTTAAATTTATTTAAATTTATTTAAATTTATTTAAATTTATTTAAATTTATTTAAATTTATTTAAATTTATTTAAATTTATTTAAATTTATTTAAATTTATTTAAATTTATTTAAATTTATTTAAATTTATTTAAATTTATTTAAATTTATTTAAATTTATTTAAATTTATTTAAATTTATTTAAATTTATTTAAATTTAAATTTATTTAAATTTAAATTTATTTAAATTTATTTAAATTTATTTAAATTTATTTAAATTTATTTAAATTTATTTAAATTTATTTAAATTTATTTAAATTTATTTAAATTTATTTAAATTTATTTAAATTTATTTAAATTTATTTAAATTTATTTAAATTTATTTAAATTTATTTAAATTTATTTAAATTTATTTAAATTTATTTAAATTTATTTAAATTTATTTAAATTTATTTAAATTTATTTAAATTTATTTAAATTTATTTAAATTTATTTAAATTTATTTAAATTTATTTAAATTTATTTAAATTTATTTAAATTTATTTAAATTTATTTAAATTTATTTAAATTTATTTAAATTTATTTAAATTTATTTAAATTTATTTAAATTTATTTAAATTTATTTAAATTTATTTAAATTTATTTAAATTTAAATTTATTTAAATTTATTTAAATTTATTTAAATTTATTTAAATTTATTTAAATTTATTTAAATTTATTTAAATTTATTTAAATTTATTTAAATTTATTTAAATTTATTTAAATTTATTTAAATTTATTTAAATTTATTTAAATTTATTTAAATTTATTTAAATTTATTTAAATTTATTTAAATTTATATAAATTTATTTAAATTTATTTAAATTTATTTAAATTTATTTAAATTTATTTAAATTTATTTAAATTTATTTAAATTTATTTAAATTTATTTAAATTCATTTAAATTTATTTAAATTTATTTTAATTTATTTAAATTTATTTAAATTTATTTAAATTTATTTTAATTTATTTTAATTTATTTTAATTTATTTTAATTTATTTTAAATTAATTTATTTTAATTTATTTTAGTTTATTTCATTTTAATTTACTTTAATTTTAAATTATTTTAATCTATTATAATTTATTTTAATTTATTATAATTTATTTTAATTTATTTAAATTTTTTTAATTAATTTATTTTAATTTTTTATAATTTATTTTATTTTTTTTAATTATTTTATTTTAATTTAATTTATTTTAATATAAATTACAGTCATTGTCACTCACCTATTATTGATACACCTTGTAATAATATAGCTGCATATATATTTATTAGTCACAGAGAGTAAATGCATTTAAAAAACTTATTGGCTCTATGCGAAACCCAACAAAAATTTTTGGCAGTTAATGTGTTAACATAAAATAGATCTTAAAATGAGAATCCAAATATATCTAAAATACATTTTTTGGATGTCACATAACCTAGTGTGTAAAGTTCTAATATACTCTATGGTGGATGTCATATAGTCGGGTGAGTAAGTTTTAATATACTGAATGTTGGATGTCAGAGAGTCGAGTGAGTAAATTCTAATATACTTAATGGTGGATGCCAGACAGTCGAGGGACTGAAATATTTAATATACAAAATATACAAAACCAACTGACGCGAGCGCCACCTTCGCATCTATACACTGGAACTAAATATATACATAAAATTGAAAATTAGGCATTATGACATCCAGCTGAAATTTTTTTGGCTCCCTTTTAAACCTCCTTTATGATGTTTGAACCCCAAAAACGTTGTGACATCCGAATTTGGATGTCACATCGCAGACGGATGTTAGAAAGATAGCAACATTTTTGCGACATGATGTCACAAAGTCGGCAGGACGAATCTATATATATATATATATATATATATATATATATATATATATATATATATATATATATATATATATATATATATATATATTGTATATATATTTACACTTTTTAAATTAAGTAATTGCCAAAATTATGAAAAGAAAAATTTCTAGGTTAATGCATTTAAAAACAACCTGGGGTGGGATTCCATTCTGTGTCGATTAACTCAATCTCGATTCATAATTCGATCGAATTATGGAAAGCGTTTCTATAGTCTCTATCTGTTTTGACTTCGGAAATCTTCGACTTGATATCACACTCCATAATTGCCATTCCGTTCAACGAAATTCAACAATAAACTCGATCAAATAACTCGATAGCTCTAGAGTAGTTGATTCTATATTAAATCATTAAAATTGAATTTTTTTGACACTAGGTATGAACCTTTCAAATGAGGTGAATAATACAACTGAAAAGAATTCTTTTTCTGCAGCAATGCGCCTTTTCTGCATAACCTCTCCTGCATTAAGGGCCTTATTTTCTCTACTAGGTATATACAGAGTCATTATTTCATAGGGACAGTATCTGTAACGTGTAGAGGGTGGGTTAACCCATATTATTAACTTTTTGCAGTAGAAGAGCACTATTATAAGGTTACTGGGGTTATTTCTGAAAGTTAATGACCTACCAAATAGTTTATAAAGTACATTTGGCCGATACTTTTTTTCAATATTCTTGTGCAAAAACAGATATAAGTAGCGTTCGGTTTGGCCAGGTTCTGGAACGAGACAGGAGCAGTTTTTTAGGATGCCTTTAAATGATACTTAAGCGTGTTAAACTGTCACTAATCGGACTAAACCGAATGCTAAAAGGGTCGTTTGAAGTTTAAAGTGTTAAAGGAGCTTGGCAGACCGAATGCAATGAATAAATATGACAAAAGGAATTACACTTATAAGACAGACCTTAAAACCCTACTTTTATTGCAAATTTGAACTACTTTTAATGTATGTTAATTTGCTTGAAAACTTAACGTATGCGTTAATTTTATTTTTACAGGATTACAATTTATGTTAAAATCGTAAAATTTAACACCTGTTATAAATAAACGTATTGAATTACAGAATTACCACTAATATCCTTTTATTGATATTCTAAGAATAAAAAAGACCTCTGTTGCACGATAGGTTATCCAGAAAAGGCATTGCCTGGAAACTAAATTCTGTTCTGCCCTAAAAGTTTAAGCCACAGGCTTATTATTCAACCTCACTGACAGGTTATACCTAATGTCAAAATAATCAAACTTTAACGATTTGATATCAAATCAACTACTCTACAAATGTCAAATTTAATAATCCCGTTTGTCGAATTTCCTTAAGAGGAATAGCTTTTATGAAGTTTGATATCAAATTCGAGTCAAATCGTGAAACGGAATCCCACCCCTGTATTTTATATTTTAACTGTGACTTGAAGACCTAGTCTCAAAAATATTTAATATTTGGTTTCATTTTATACTCAGTACAATTGGTATGCACTAGTGGTCATTAGGCTTATCTATGTAGCCTTTGTTGGTCTCTTTATAAGCAAGCCAGAGTGACCCTAATTATTTTGACTCAATGCTGGAATCTGAACATGAAAAATACAACATTGGGAGGGGCGAAAACCTTTTTTTTAGCTCCCCAAAGATAAAAGGCATAATTGTCCTGTAGAGGACCAGATGACCTTTCTTAAGTCATGTATTAAGATTTGGTTTTGTTATGTTCCAGGGCAAACTTGTAGTTTGGGCAGGTACTAAAACGTATGTCTACACTAATATGGTATAAGACTTTTTGTTTCAATTTGAGCTGTGTCGAGGCTATTGGTATCGATGTCAGTGGACATAGCCAGGTATGGGTTGATATTTTCTGGAGCCGGCTTCGCAACCACCCTACGAAAAGTATTTGCTTCGTCTTCTTTGTCTGTCAGAACAATTGAAAACAATAAGTACAGACACATTTTAAAACCCGCCCAAACTACAAAGCTACCCATTTCAATATATAGTGTTTTTCTGCTGGACAAATACAGCATTTTGCTAGACAAATATGACATTTTGCTGTACAAGATAAAATGCTGGACATACTGAAAATTGTACAATACAGCAAAATGATGTACTTATGGTCACCCTAAAGCAACCCCAACATATATACATTATTAAGGAAAATCATCATTTCCATAGGTGATAGATTGCACCGGGCAGCAATTATGATTTTAAAATTTCAAAACAATTACTCTCGTCCCATTTTAATGAATTTATTGTTTACCCAGGAAGTGCACATACCCATGACACTAGACAGTCTGACAATTTTCATTTGCCAAGATGTAATTTATCCAGGTCATTGAAAATATTGATGTACAAAGGACTCAATGAATATAGTAAATTACAAACAATTATTAGAAATAGTGAGAATTTATACCAATTTAAAAAAAAAATAAATAAATATATTATAAATAAAAATAAATGAACAAAATACCTGGCTAATGTTAATAATTGTATAATGTTTATCTAAAGCTACTATGTAATATGTACCTATATTTGATATTAATGCTTCATATATATTTTATAAATAAAAATAAATGAACAAAATACCTGGCTAATGTTAATAATTGTATAATGTTTATCCAAAGCTACTATGTAATATGTACCTATATTTGATATTAATGCTTCATATATATTTTATAATTATGTTTCACTTAATTATGTTTTTACTATTGTATTGTTTTTGTATTAGGATATATTCCTATATTAATAAAGATTCATTCATTCAAATTCTAATAGAAGAAAATAGATTAACATACCAAATTGAATAATTGGGCATTTTCTAAAATTTTCTTCTGTAGCTCATCATTCAACACACTAATATCCACATTAGGAATAGATTCTGGGATTTTAGTTTTACCCTTTTTGCTGCTATGGTTTGTCTGCAGTTCTTGTTGGAGCACAACAATTCTTTTTGTTAATTGGTCATTTCTAAAAGTAAGACTTTCTATTTCCTGATCACGTTTTCTAACGGTTTGTTCATGGTTTCTAACTAACTCTTGAAGACCTGTAGTTTTAGCTTGTTCATCTAGAACCGCCTTCTTTAGAACTGTGGCTTGAGATCTAATCTAAAAAATTTAAGGTTAGGTTGTTAGGTTACATCAAAATTAATTTTAAAAACTTACTTTCGAATACTCGGTTGCAAGCCTTTGGTATTTTGATTCTATGTCTGTTTCTTTTTCCATTGTAAGAAGTTGAGATTTTTTATTTTGATAATCCTTTTGAAAACCGATATCATTTCATACTTGTCAAAATTGTTTATTTTTTATTGTCTTCTGTCGAATGTCATGCACAGGCACAGTGTTGCCAGAATATATTTTTGTAATGTACCAGATTTATCTAAAAAATGTACCAGATTTCATAAAAATGTACTAGATTCTATAAAATTACCAGATTTTTCTAATTATGAAGTATGGTCATTAAAGACCAAAAAAAGGTTCATAGAGAAAACGAACACAACAATTTAAACAATATTTTATCTCTCGACAAATTTCTGACACTATTTTATATCTCGAGCAGTTTTTGAATCTTTTTTTAACTCTTGAGCTATTTTGAAACAATATTTTATCTCTCGATAAATTTCTAACAGTATTCTATCTCTCGAGCAATTTTTAACAACTTTTTTTTATCCCTCGAGCAATGTTTGTACAAAATATTTTGTAAAATGTTTAACACTATTTAATCATTCGAGCAATTTTTAACAGTTTTTTTATCTTTCAAGCTATTTTTGAACAATATTTGATCTATCGTGCAATTTTTTAAAAAGATTTTAATACTTTTTGATATTATTTTTATCTCTCGAACAGTTTTTAAAAAACATTTTTTTATCTCTTGAGCTATTTTAAAAAAAATATTTTATCTCTCGATAAATTTCCAACAGTATTCTATCTCTCGAGCAATTTTTAACAACTTCTTTTATCTCTCTAGCAATATGTTTGTACAATATTTTTTTTACCACTATTTAATCACTCGAGCAATTTTAAACAGCCTTTTTTTACCTTTCAAGCTATTTTTGAACCATATTATTTGATCGCTCGTGCTATTTTTGAGCAAAATTTTAATAATTTCTAACACTATTTTATCTTTCGAGCAATTTTTATTAACATTTTTTATCTTTCTAACAATTTTTAAACAATGTTTTATCTCTCGAGAAATGTTTAACATTATTTTTTAATTCTCGAGTAATTTTTGAATAAGATTTTAATAACTTATGATACTATTTTATCTCTCGAACAATTTTTAAACTTTTTTTTATCTCTTGAGCTATATTTAAACAATATTTTATCTTTCGATAAATTTCTAACATTATTCTATCTCTCGAGCAATTTTTAACAACTTTTTTTATCTCTTTAGCAAACTGCACAATATTTTAACTCTTGACAAATTTATAAAAATATTTTAACTCTCGATAAATTTTTGACAATGTTTTATATCTCGAGCAATGTTTGTACAATATTTTATCTCTCGAGCATTTTTTAATAGTATTTTATCGTTCGATGAATTTTTAAACAATGTTTTATCTCTCGAGAAATTTCCAATAGTAGATATCTCTTGAGTCAATTTTGAACAATATTTTATATCTCAACCAATTTTTCAATAGTATTTTATCCCTCGAGCAATTTTTGAACAAGGGTTTAACATTTTGTAATACTGTTTTACCTCGAGCAATTTTTGAACACATTTTAACAATTTATTATACTATTTAATCTCTGAAAAATTATTAAATATTTTTATCTCATTAAATTTCTAACAGTATTTTTATCTCTAGAGCAATTTTTGAACAATATTTTATCTCTCAAGCAATTTTCAATACTACTTATTTTATACTTTGATCAATTTTTAACACCCTTTTTTACCTCTCAAGCCATTTTTGAACAATATTTGATCTCTCGTACAATTTTTAAACAATGTTTTACCTCTCGAGAAATGTCTACTATTTTATCTCTGAAGTAATTTTTAACAACTATTTTAATATCTCTTGCAATTTTTGACCAATATATCTTACACTTCAAATGGAAACATACGCTGATAAAAGTACTAGATATTGTGTCGAGTGCACCAGAGTACCAGATTCTCAGAGAATGTACTAGATCTAGTACAATTGTACTAGACTGGCAACACTGGTCATGCATATCAAAACGCCTTTTTCTCACAGAACTGAAATTAGGAGAATGGATTTGATATTTGATGTCAAATCTTGCTCAAAATTTATAGTCCGGGAGATAATGACAGATTTCAATAAACCATTTTCGCAAGCTTTATTTTTTGAATATGAGTTATTTAAATATCATCTAACAGTAAAATCATCGTCTTCCATTCCAGTTGTACGACAGGGGATTGCAGGAGGGTTGTAATTCCAGTAAAAAAATGATAAAAAAAAAATCATTTTCGCATGGACGAAACTTTGTGTACACGTTGATATGACCATGTAAATATTAGAAAATGTCGTCTTCCACCTGAATTGTGCAACAAAGTACGTCTTCCATCCACATAAATAGGCGTTAAAAAATAATAAAAAAAAATTATAGTCGCAAAGGTGAAACCAAGTGGGATGCTTATTTTTATAGTAAGAAAAATAAAAATAATAGTCTTCCACCAATAAAACACAACGAAGGTCGTCTTGTTCTAGACATGCGGCGTGCTAACAGCTATATAGAACGTAGTATCTTTACGTTTCCGAAAGATGATCATTGATGTAAAATTTTGAAAGAACTATTACGAAGTTAATATTTGTTATAAATTATTCATTCAATTACTATAACTGCACATTTTACCGTGAAAATCGAAATTTTATTACCTAAATAGATGAAATACGATAAAATTCTGTTGTAGATTTAAAAGTATGCAATACATTAATTATTTGCCATATAATTTAGAGATAAATTCGCATGAAGTATTTATAATTTCTCTAGTTAAAGTAAGTAAATTTAAAAGCACAAAATATATGTATTTTATTGGAATTTTTATAGAGCTTTTTATCATTTTTTTTTAACAAATTACCTAATAATAAAATTAAGACTGAAATGAAAACACCGGGTACATATAAATGTAACAGGAAGATAATAAAATTTAAATGTTTTTCAAATTTTAAGTGAAAAGGAACAAAATTCAAAAAGTATTAAGTACTACCATGAATTAAGTTTTTCTTTTAACACTTTGGGTTTTTAAAAAGTTTTATTTCACTTAAATGAACAATTATCGTATACAATATGTAGTAGTAAACACCACGACTTCAGCAATGACAATGTTACTGTTCTAGGTCGAGGTGTCTTTTTATATTAGTTCTTATCGTAAAGGAAACATTTGGAAATTATCAAAGTACAACTAAGATACGTTAATGTGGTACTTAAAACTATATTATTTAGGAATTTTGATGACATAACTCCTCCATTCTCAGAGCAGAAAATAGGGGTTCCTCTGTTTTCTGGGTGTTGTCGTTCTTTTCTTCTTTGCTTGGGCGTTGGCGTCGATATCTCTTCAGGTAGAGGTAAACTATGAATACTGAAATAATAGTAAGAATAATTAGTGTACACGTTGCGTTGATCCATGTGTGGCTTGAAGGGGTAGTCTGACTTGGTTAATTTCTTTAATGTCGATTCGTCTTAGGTGAAATTTTTCTTGTTTTCCGTCTTTTTCTGGGTGGTCTATTTCTATTGGTGGTAGTTCGAACACGAATTGTTCGTGAGTGGTCTGCTCAGCTTGGAAGGTTTCTCCGTATATATAAAATTTGCATTTTTCTAAGGAATTCCTCTAATTTTAATCTCCAGCGCACTAGTTTAGAGTTAGGCTCTTTTCGTGAGAATAACCATTGTAATGGCTTGTGGTCTTCTGTGTTGTGGTCTCTTATTATTTTAAACTTTACCCCGAAGGGATAAGGTCTAAAAATACTTAGTTGCCCTTACTATTGCCAACAGTTCTTTTTCGATCGTACTATTAGGCATTCCAACGACCTGTCCAAATGGCTACCAGTGGGTAATGACAGTTTAGATATGGCAACCCTGTTGTCATGTTGTCATTAACAGGGTCAATGATACATATATAGTTATATAGATTGCTCAAAGCTGGTCGTTTACGAGCGGCCATATTGTCTGGCAAATATTTATTAATTTGAATCGGTTTAGCAAAAATGTGTTTTAAAACCAATTATTAGCCTTTAGATATTTAAAAAAAAATAATTGCTTACATTTTTACTTCAAGGCATAAGCTTATGTTTATTTTGAAAAATATGGATGATCAATCTACATAGTTACATAACTATCTATTTCATTGACCTTGTCAAATCACCAGATCTACAGGGTTGCCATAATTTTGCCATATCATAACCCGTCAAAACAGGAGCGGCTAAATGCTGACCAGCGTGCACATATTATTTTTTGTGTTTTCCGCTAGATGGCGTGTATTTGAGCGCGGTTTTTTAAATTGATAATTTTGACTTGCACACCATACAGTGCGTCAAAAATAATTGTATTTTAAATTATATTTTATTGTTATTAATTCTGGGTTAGACATGAGTTAATAAATAACCCATTAATTAGGAATTTATTGGTAGGTATAAATAAAATAACCAATATAAAATGTATCAGTAGTTCACTCATTTATTTTAAAAAATAAAATCACTACAAATTTGTTAGTAATTTAAATAATAATATTGGGTTTTGATGGTATATTAAAACACTAAATCATTATAGTCAATTTATTAAAATATAGAAATAATAGTTGTGACAATCATTGTCTCTAAAAAATTGAGTTTCATTCTTTTTTGGGTATAGAATTGTCTAATAAATATATATTGAGGGTAGGGTGAGTATATGGTGATTAATAAAATGATTTCTACATGTATGTCTCGAGTCTAGAATTAAAATAAGCCTAATTGCTCCTTTTGTGCAATGAATAATACTCTTGTAGCAGCAGGGGAAGGCATGGCCGATAAAGTACTTTATGAAGTACATACAAAAGTTCTACTTTTCGACTGTTTTCTGTCCGAATAACGACGTTTTTTGACACATTCGAATAAAAAAAATTTAAAAATGTACAAACATATAAGACCTAAATAACCTATATAACACAATATTAAAAATGTTACAAATGAGGTAAAAATTAAATACAAATTAAAGTTTCAAATAGTATAGCATACATTAGAATAATAAAGTGGTACCATTACGGATCAGCGAGTATCACTCACAAATTCTACATAGTATTAATATGTCTTAGACGAAAGATATGCATTAAAGTTTATATTTGAATGTATTAAAGATTTTTTCGTTGCTATCAATATGAATATATATTTA